TGAGAATTCCTAGAGATTCTCAAACTAAAACACTAGTGAAGAACATTGCCGCCAAGAAATGGCGAGAAGTTTCAAATGGAATCCTAAAGCATGTGGAAATTATGCCTGAACTATACAAAGGAATCTGTAAACTCGTATCAAAGGAATTTGACGAATACATGAAGTCTGAATGTATGTTGGAAGCGCGAAATCCGGACGAACTCGCTGGTTTCTCAAACAAACTGTTCATGGAAGAGGTGAGAATTTTCTGTCCCGTCTGGTTTCATTGCGCTCTAGGTGCTAGTGGTGTATCACAAGATGCCTTAAAAGTGTGCGGCCCAGAAGTCAACTCTCTAGGTTTAGCGACAGCAACGATAGCCCGCGTAAGAAACGCCAAAGCGTCTGCAGCGCATTACCGAATTTCGACTATATTATTTCACAGTGGTGTTAAACACGACGACTTGACACGTTTGAATCGCTTGGGACTATGCATGTCTCCAGATTCCATTGTCACCATGCAGAAGAAAATGAACGAACAATTGGAGGGTAAATTACAACTTTGGAAGGAGCAAATCGTGGAGAATCGCAGCGCTCTTATGTTAGCCCGAGAAGTTCTCCAGAAGCAAATCGCCACACCACTTGATGTTAGCGAGCAAACTCTTCGATTGTACGAATTCTATTCAGCTACTGGGTACAAAGCACTGAAAGCTATGCTGGTTGTAGAAAAGGAGAGAGCAGGGAGAGATGTTTACACCACCGACTGCCTACAAGCAGTTGTTGGAACTCTCGCAAGTACAAAACTACCTTTTTTCAAGTAAGCTTTTATTTCATCCTTATTTTTTTTAAACCGATTTCACAGCAAACTGTCACCTTTATTGTAGAAATTCAGATTGTAAAAATTTGGATATCTGACATTAATGTTTCCATGAAAATGTAATTTATTGAAATAATTAATCAGTTAAGGTACACAAATGCAAAGAAGTAATCATAACTTCAAGGGACTGGGTCACGCTATTTGAGGTAATTTTGTTTAATGTTATTAATTATGAGCTCTCCACGTCAAATTGGCAGAGCAAGAGTCTTTCATTTGCGAAATCACGGCTACCGAACTGAGAATGCTTTTCCAGCTGTGTAAGTGACATTTTGATATAAACTGATAGAAATTTGAAAAAAGGTGGACAATGTTTTTCAAATTTACCAAAATGAAATGCATTTCAATCCTCTCCAGTTTTGTCCATCCATGTCCCTTCTGGGCTTTCCTGAGTTTTGTTTGAGGTCTTCTATAGTTTTGAGCCATTTTTGTGATATTTTAGTTAATTCTGTGACCATTTGATCAGTGCTGAAATTGCCTAAAATTCCGTGACCTAGCCCCTTTAAATATCGTCACATCTTCCTTCTTGAGTGTCATTAAATAATCATATCCATTCTTTCTCTTACTTTTCAGATTGGTTGGTGACAACATTGACTATGAAATTCAAGCGCGGGTGCAATCACAACAGCACAAGAACCGGTCCATCCACTGGACACATCAATTTGCTGTTCTTGACAGAGTGCAAGATCCAAACCTGGACTCTCAACGGAGTCAGAAAAAAGTAGGAGACATTCAGCTGGCAGAGATATTACCAGACCGAATTGTCCAGACACGCCTTGTGAGAAATTGGGCAGTTATTGTCAGCCGAGTAATTACAAAGTACTTACCTCCATTCCAATCCTTCCAAGATGTGGTTGTGAGACACATTCCTCACAAGTACAGTAAAGAGATGTCTCAACAGTCTGACTCTGTGAGTCTTCCTGTCTGTTAGAGTTATATTTTGTAAAATTTATGTACTTTGTGATGTTGCGTACTGGTTTTGTGTGGAGTAGAACAAAAGGCTTACACTGTTTAATTGCAGGAAAAGAGAGAAATTGTTATCAAACAACAACACATTCCTTAACATTGCCAACAATATTTACTTACTAATGTTAAATAAACAATAAGTACAGCAGGTAAATGTAAGGATATAAAAGGTAAAAAACCCAGCTAAAAAATAATGACTCAATGTAATCACATTAACTTTTCATTTTTTAGTGCTTTCTAGGAATGCAATTTTTGAATCCAAATGTAGCAGGAGACATGGCCCAACTCCTCCAGCACAACCAAGAGAAGTATGTACCCTGTTTAATCAATGAAAACAAGAAAAAAATTCTTGCACAGATACCCCTCCACGGTGATCAGCTATTTGAAGAGCGAGCAAGAAATGTCATATGGACTTACAGGGATGGAATTGATGGCTATGAGAGACTTGAGGGAATCAATACAGAGTTTGCAGACTGGCATGCCAAATTCACATTGTATAAGGTAACTAACATTTTTATAATTCACTGACATGACAACATGGTAACACGTCATTTATCTGTGAGAATAACCAGTTTGCAAAAGGAATTTTTTTTTCTGTTAAAAAACACCCTTTGATTTACCTGTACTTAGCTCTACAACAAAATAATATTATACCCATATCAATTCTGTTTTCTCTTACAAATTAGACAGAGTTTAAGATGTTTGTCAATCATTCATCTGCTGCTGAGGTGGGTACTTCCATGGTAAGCATCAACAGGACAGGGAAGACGAATGCTTCTAAAGGTGTGGAAAACCACTACAATGAATATAGTGAATTTCATGCAAGAGAGACCGAGGCACACATATGTGCTTCATTCATGGAGATGACAGGCATGAACAAAATCACAGGTAATCCAGAAATACTATTGTTTCCTCAGAAAATCAGGCCGGGCTAGAGGTCACGATTCTTGGTGCTGACCAAAAGGAGTGTGGCCTCTGCAGATGAGAATTATATACACATATACATGGTATATGCTTTGTGTTGAGAAGTCTGGATATGACTTTTTGCCAATTGATGTAAATTGATGAATGGCTTTTGTGTGAGTAGAAATTGATAATCGATTAACTGATACCAACCCATGTCATTTAGCTAATTTTATTGATTGATATAGATTTATCGATTGCTTATAATAAGGGGGCATATTAAGTAAATTGCTATAACATTATCTGCAAATGTTATAACTTGACATCATTCTTCTTTCACCTTCATTTAATTAGATAAACCTGAAATACCCATGCCTGATACCACTCTCTCAAAGGAGCTGAGAGCTCAGTGGCTTCTGGAGATATGCGAAAAACATGTGAAAAAGTATGTGTTCAACACTGATGAGCTAACTTCCTTAGTTACTCAAACTACTGAACTTGAAGCAGCTCTCAACAATGGTTCCCGCTGGGAATGCTGTGCAGGAAACTGCGAGAGGAACTATGCATATCACTCTGGAAGAGTAAGGTAAGGGAAGTTGTTCTACATTTCTAAATATAAAAATGTAATTAACCTTATAATTTAAACCTCTTTTTACATTTTAAAATTTGTCCTATTTAATCAAGACATGTCACTCAGTGTCATTAATTAATGATCAAAAGGCTTAATTTAAACTATATTGTCATAAAATATCAGTGTTTGGGTTGCAGATTTCACTTGAAAGACAATACAGTATGCTCAGTTATCTTATCAAAGGCACTCTCTTTGTACCTTTCAGGCATAAAGTTGAAGCACACAGTCTGTCATTTGACAATGGCTCTGACATACGAGATCCATTTGGTTATTACTTTTGCAGAGTGCACTGTGGTTTAGTTTTCAAGACAAAAATAACCCATAACAGGTGAGCTTACACGGTGTATCCAAAACTGCAAAATTCCTCACTTTGTCTTAAGAAAAGCATTAACATTAACAGTGCAACAAAGCCACAAAATGTGGTAAGATAGACAGTCTCACACTTAAGATTTATTCTATACTCCTTTGTTTCTGTAGACACAAAGAGCAGCGACATGGCCAAAAGCTAGATGCAGATGAGATTCCCCTGGAAGAGAATAAAGCTGACCATAAATTCAATTATCACAGTGCCAAACTTGCATTTGGGCTTGTGTTATTTGAATTTAAGGATGCTGTGAAAGGAGATGGTGACAGGCTCTTTGATATCTACAAACTTTCCTTACTGCTTTACAGGAACAATGGCCATTATAAGTATGCCTATACTGTTCTCTTGTATTTAGTGAAATGCATTGCTATCCTCCCCCCATCTCAAGCACTACAGCTGAAGTGGAACCGCACCTACAATGTCAGTGGCCTCCCAGGCCGGAATATTTCCCTAGACTTGCAAAAGGAGCATGACAACAAAGTCATAAAGTGTATGTGGCGCAGTCTTGGAGCCAACCTTGACGAGCAAAATGCAGAAAGAACAGCAGGGACACTTGAATCAAGACAGCTCGTCTACCATTCAGTTGACAGAGACTGCATTGTAACAGAACACCACTTTGGAAGAAGGATACCAAAGGAGGAAGAAGCAGTAAATCAGATCATCATTGACCTGATGACACAATTTGCTTTTAAGAAACACCCTGGTTGAGAGGGGTATCCATCCTTTCCACAGTTTGAACGTAATCTGCTGCGTGGCCTTGACTACAGGGACTTACACAATTGGCTTAGAGAGCATATTGACTTGTGGGGCACCATCTACCAACAGGAAAGACAATCTTAATTGTGGACAAACAGAGTCAAAATGTAATCGCAGGGTGTACTATCAAAACAAAAATGTTAGTACAGAGTGCACATTTTCCATGAAAATACTTTCAGTATCATGCTGTTGTATGGTTCCCCAAAAACTGTCATCTGTGCGAATGCCTAGTTCAAACAGTAAAATCAACGATTCATAAAAATAGGCAAGGCCACTATCCTAAATTTTCTTAAGTATTAATCAAAAACCAGTATCTTGGCAGTGTGTTATTCCCATACTCCTGCATTAATACAGTTGTTATATTTAATAAGAACAAAGTAAATGTTAAGCTGTCTTCAGAAGGAAAAAGTCAGGATTCATACACTGCATTAACAATAAGTTCAATTGCCTAATGAAAAACAAAGGTATAGGTTGCTACAAAATTTCATTACATTGTTTGCTGTTAGCTTGAATGATATACTCAACAATGTCACTCAAAAGAATGATTTAAGTACAAAATCAAGGTGCACTATTCATAAGAAAAACAATTCTTATTTTTTTGTCTCAGCAAACACAATAAAATTAGTGAACTGAAAACCTCAAGTATTCAAGAAACTAAAATATTACTATGGTCTTCTTGCTCTCTCTAACCTCTGGACTGCACATAAATACTTTTATAATATAAACAAAAACATTAGAGTTCCTCCAGTTCGGGATCACTGTCCATACCTAAAGTAATACTATCAAAGTCAAAGCACTCACTGGTAGCCGGTTCCACTTGCAAGAATGACCCATTAAAATTTTGGGTGATGAGTGCCAGTGATTCCTCGAAATTAGGGATGTCCATAACCACTTCTTGAATCACTTCCAACACTTTCAGGGCATTTGAAATAGAAAATACAGGATAACCAGTGACCAAATCTTCTAGAGTAAAAATGCTCTGACAGTTTCGTATGACGTCATCAATTAGTTGTGTCGAGAAACCATGACTTGAGCTTTCATCTAGGGCAGGTGCTTCACTGCTCATCCCATTAAGAACTTCGTACAAGGCTTCCTTCAATACATTTCTGTCCTGGCATGTAACCTGCCTAAGATGTCCATTAGTTTCAAAAAGGTTCTCCACTGCTTGTTCACTAACCTCAAAGGGTAGAGAGGTTGCACTGCAACTCTCACCCCCACACTTGCAAAGCTCAGAGCAAAAAGAGCAACAGTCATGGAGAGGTTCCATGGGCTGAATTGAATTATCAAGAGTTTTGTACGCGGCAACACGAAAACAGCCTTTTGCACGGACAAAGTCTTTCACTTCCGGTTCACAATGTCCAACTTGCTGACCGTGATAAATTATAACGACATGTGACTTTTTCCCGTCCCTCCCAGCTATTCCAGCCTCTTGATGTTGGTCTAGGATTGTTCATGCTGGGCCCCAGTTAACTATGAAACGGACATTGGGAAAGTTTACGCCCATACAAAGTGCTGTTGTTGCCACAATGACACGTTTAACTCCACAACCCTTGAACTGGTCCATCAGTCTGTTTTTGCTACTTTTCCAGGAATTTGAATGATAAATTCCAATCAAAGAGTTGTCCTGCACAGGAGAATATGCCGGAGAAAACACTTGATTTCCCAGCTTGGACATTAAATAATTTGTGACTAGTGCTATTTCATTTATTGTGTTACAAAACACAATTGTCTTTGGGCAATTGACACCCTCATTTCTCAACAGGGTAACAAGCCAGTCCAACTCCTTTAACTGCATCTGCTTTTTTACCTTCTTTACAGAAAAACGCAAATTACAACGATTTGGACTCACGTAAATGATTTTTACATCTTGTGCAAGGTTCAGGACCTTCTTTATAGTTTCTTGAGTCATTTGGTCTGCTGTTCCCGTAAGAGCACCAACTGGAGTACCTTAAAAATAGAGAGGAATATGGAATAGCAAAATTTACAAAAGAAACACAAAAACTATAAGGAAAAAAAAGGAAAATGAAGTAGTTAAAACAAAGGAAACTTTCCGTTTCGCAGTTACTGGGCAAACACCATAAAAACATTTCAATACAATGTTGTAGCTTTCACTTCAACACAGTCATAACCACGTGCAAACGTGTCAAAGCGTGAACGCTGTTTATCACGAATTAAGCTCTATTACCTTGCTTGCAAAATGAACGCAGCTGGCCAAGTTGCCCAAAAGATTCACGGAAAGCAATTTTCTTCCCCCTCTTCGAAGATCTAAAATTGAGATAATTATGAGAGTACAATAAGTCTACGAGTATCCATGAAGATCAGCAAGCCTTTTCGTACCAGTAAAGGAAATAAATACAGGTAAGCAATAGTTCGGTATAACAATAATAATTTAAACGGAAACAAACCTTTGACCGGTCCAAGTGTCCACAGTATGCGACTTGTCCACGATTATTGCACACATATTCTGATGGAACAGTGAGGCTGTTTTTTTCAGTGAGGAAAGAAATGGCTTGGACAAAACCTCTTCTGCAGAAGCAAATATGAGTTGATATTTGCCGGACTCTATATCTTCCAAACAACAATCCGTGAGCGCAGCTGCTGTCAATCCCATTGACGAGGCTTCTGCTAATTGATCGTAGACGATACTTTGAAGCGGACACACGACAACCGCGCTCGAAGGTTTCCCCGTCATTATTTGTTTGACGAGTACCAACATCTGAAATATTAAGCTTTTCCCAAAGCCAGTGGGAAGCACTGCCAACAGATCTTTTCCGGCTAGCAGTGTGGAAATTGAGTCTTTTTGCTCCGTTCGTAATTTGCGAGACATTCCAAGTTCACATAAATGCTTGAGAGATTCCTCGAGAGCGGAATCAAAACTAACAACATCACTTTTGACAGAGTTCGCCATGTTTCTTACCCGCACGAACGAAACGAAATTGACTGACAGACAATTGACAGGCAGGGTCAAGCCGCACCAATCAGAAACTCCGTTCGTGGGCGAACAGAG